ACATTAGCATGTAATAAAATATCTATAAAAATGTCTGGTGTTACCATTACTCAGAAAAATAATCTTGCTGATCTATAAAAGGAAGACTAAAGTTTTTAGTCCATAAATTTTTAGTGTTTAGCATTATTTACGTGCTGTAACCTGATTATTATTTTTTTCTCTTCAGCCAGTGTGTTTATGCTGCTAAGTAGAACTTAAAAATTCTACCATGGCTTAGAAACAGAATGTTGTTAGTGTCTACTTACATACTTGTCAGTTGGTAAGAAAACTCATGCGGGGTTAAAAATCCTCTAAAGTTGCTATATTGTGAAATTTAAGTAAAGAGTTAAGGCAAAAATTATAGCACTTTATCTAAATGTATGATATTGGATGAATTCCAAAAGTTAGGGTGATGGAAGTAGAGAAAGAATTCCTCTCTTTACTGAAAATGTTGATGTTTGAGTAGAAGAATGGAAATTACTTCAGGCTTAATGTTTTACCTTGATTATATAAAAAAGGCTTCAGAATACAGAAAGTGATCCTAAATATTTTATTTCAGAAGTACATAGTGTTCTTTACATGTTTTGATTTTTTAGGATGTCTTTCCTTCCTTGCACGTGTCTTACAAGCTGTTTTAAATTTCTTATTCAAAATATTTTAGCTTCCTAGTTCTTCTAATTGAGAAGAGAGGGGATTTGTATGTTTTCCCTAAAATATGTTTGGAAATTTTAGAATTGTTTTCTTTTGTGCTATATGTTTGTCTTCTGAATCAAGAAACATTACTAATACTGTCAGAAGAATGGACAAAATGAAAAGGCAGAGAAAGGAATGGAAGAGATACTGGAAAAAATGATGGGGACTGACTTATTTGTTATATTTTTATTCTTCAAAGTAAAAACTTTATCTCTGACGTGGATTACAGCAGTGCTCTTTTGCCTGCTACCAAAGATCTATTCTCCATGTAGCAGAATGAATTATTATTTTAAAATGCATGTCAAATAATGTTCAAAATTCTTTAATCATTTTCTCCCACACTTAGAATAACATTCAAACTCTTTACCATAGCCCACAAAAGGGATGTGTCTTCCTCCCACTTGTCAAATCTCTGTCCTTGGTCTCTGTTCTGCTTTTTAAAAATGCCAAGACTTTTTCCACTTCGGGTCCATTTATTTCACTTGACATTGTTTTGCCTGGATGCTTTTCCCCCTGTTCGGTTCATGACTGACTTCTCAAAAATGTACATCTCATCTCAACAATCCCTTTGCAGAGAGACCTTGCTTGACTAATTTATCTAAATGAGTCCTGCTTTCATTCCAAACCCAGCAGCCTCTTACAGTATTGCTTGTTCATTGATTTCTTCATAGCACTTGGCACAATCTGAAATAATTTACCTGAGACTTGTCTCCTTGGATGAGACTGTAAACCCCTGGTCATGTATCACAGTGTCTGGCACAGATTCTGTGCAAAATAAAGATTTGCTGAATATGTGAGTGTGTTAAATGAAGAACTGGGGTATGACTAGAGTACTGGGCATATGTATGTTTTCCTGAATAGGAGGATGGTATATTAGAAAACTTCTGGAAGGCCTTTGAGAACTTTGGGAACAGTTTGTATAATGATAGACAGGAGGAAGTTATGCTAGAAAGATAGGGTGGGGACAAATCCTGGAGGTTTTGAATGTCATAATGCATTGTTTCTGGAATCTCTTTCGTGGTCAATGGACAGCTGCTGGAGGGTTTTAGTGGTCAATGTGTACATGTGAAATGCTCCTTTATTATTTGCCCTGGAAAACCCTTTATGGCTCAGAAGAGTCTCATTCACTCACCAGTGGACAGAGCAACTTCGGAATGCCAGCAGGGTGTTGATTTCATCAGTGCTCATTTCTTTTCCATGCGGCATGACTGCCACGTACAGTCGCGCTGCGAGGCTGGCAGGAGAAAATGTTTGCTTAGTTCTTTGTGGCCCGAGGTGAAATGAGCCAGTGCGTCTGGAGGGCATTGCTTACCTATCTCCCACATCTCAGTGGAATAGTGGGCTCCCTTAACAGGAATACCATCTTGTTGTCAAATCATCTCTCTTTACTCAGTTGTTCTTTATTTGGCAACTTATTTTCTAATGCCTAGAGTTACCCTCACATTAGAGTTATCCTCTCCTGTGGTTTGTCTCCTTTGGGTCGTAAAGGAAATCCAGTTTGGAACCGTTAAAGTTTGCTTTTTGTTTGTTTTAATGGAACAGTGGGGGATAGATCCCTCCTTAGCTGAAACCTAGTACTTACAAGGCCTTGTAATAATCTCCAACCAGTAAGACGGCATTCTATGTAGCATACACATGTTCACCTGGACTTTTCTACCACTTCCGATGTGTGTATCTAATTTCTAAAATAGAGTACAAAGATATAAGCTTCCAGTTAAAATAATGGCCTGTTTTATAGACTCTGGCAGCCAATTCTAGTTTCCTGAACTGGTTCACAATAATTTAAAAGCCTTGGCCAGTTCATGAATAAGTTTTATGGTTTGACTTTAAGTCATGGAATCTTTTTATACTTACATTAGGGATGATGGTATTATGTTCAGTGCTGGGTTATAAATGGAGAAAGCACCAAATAAACAAAAAAAGCAAGGTGGTTAAATTTAAGAAAGGGAGCCAGTCTATAAGCATTGTCTGACAGTTTTCAAGAGCTACTGGGTCCCATTCATCGACAGTAATAAGTGTTGGAAGCTCTCAGTGGGAATAATGACTTCTGAGATGTTAGTAAACGTATATCCTTTCAATATATTGTAGCTTACAAAGCACACTCCCATGCAATATACCTTTTGATTTGTACATACAATATTTACTTGCTAGAAGTTTGTTTTCTGTTTTCTTAGGCATATCATAGACACCATCTATATGTAAAGTGGAACAAAAAGATGAGTAAGCCCTATGGTCCCCTACCTCAGAGAGCTGTACTAGGAGAAGCAAACGCTGAGGGAGACACAATCGATGGCAGCAGGAAAGTGCCAGCAGAGGAACAGGGGTGACCTTGCCATGCTTGACTACAGCTGTAGGGTTGAAAAGGGATCTCTTAGGACAGAATCGAAGTCTGGTCTAATAGGATGTGTTAGATTTCAATAAGAAATGAGCAAAGGACAAAGGAACTCCGGGTCAGTGGAACAGCCTGAGCAAAAACACAAAGGTAGGAAAGTGGAAAACATAAATATTGATTTATGTTCCATCAACTACAATGGCTGGAGCTCTAGAACCAGAGTACATCAGTTCTAAACTGTTGTGTTCATAACATATAGTTTGACTCCCAACTGGAGACAGTTTTCACCAACCACAGGAACCTTAAGAATCTTTATGGAGCCCTGGCCGGTTTGGCTCAGCGGTTAGAACATCGTCCTGTGGTCCAGAGAGACCCGGGTTCGGTTCCCGCTAAGGGCACGTACCTCGGTTGCAGTGTGTCCCCGGCCCTGGTTGGGTTGTGCAGGTGGCAACCACTCGATGTGTCCCTTTCACATCGATGTTTCTCTCTCTCTCCCTCCCACTCTATCTGAACAAAAAAATGGAAAAAATGTCCTTGGGTGAGGATTAAAAAAAAAAAGAATCCTTATGTAGCCATGAGCTATAGACTATAGACTATACCCATCATTAAGGAGGGCATATTTACGTCCTTGAAGCTGATTGGTCATTTTTAATTTGTATTCTGTTGTTTATTTTATCAGATTTTTAGTAATTTCTGAAGTACATTTATATATATATTCACAGTGAATTCCATCTCAAATCCTAGGTAGTAGATGATGGTATGGGAGTTTTATGAGCATTTTTCTTAAAGGAGAACTGAGGCACATTTTCCAGGTTCACTTGATCAACACAATTTACAACCTATCTCTTTCCTCTATACCTGTATACTTGTTACTATATCAATGTCCACAAAATTCATATTTATTTGTGTTGGTGTGTGAGAAATTGAGAAAATTTACATTAAGAAAGAAACCAGGTCCACTGTTAGTGATTTTGACAGCCAGAATAATTCTGGGAGCACACAAATTGAGAACAAAGGTCCAAGTGGCAGAGAAAGCTGATTTCAGACAAAATTTAATGGAAGGAAGGCCAGTAGGTAAGAATATATAAATTAAAGGGGAAAGAGAAACATTTTACTGTTATTAGACAACATTATGGATGTCAGGTCTTAAAATAAGACAGTTTATGTTCTCTGTGGTGAGGCTTAAGATTATATATCACAAGATGGCAATAATTGGGGACTTGGGAATCCACTACTACTTTATATCTCTTACTCACATATCAGTGGCCAGATTGTTAAAAGCATGTTTGGTTGAATCTTATGTGCCATTCTAAGATTTTATATTTACTTGTAGTGATTATAAAAAATCTTCCTTTTGTATTAATGATAATAAAACTTGTAAATTTGGAATCAAATACTTCAATCAAAGGTGTGTAGTAGAACATTGTATGTGCTGTATTTCGTATCTCTTAGTAAAATAATTTACTCCTTATAACTTTGTATTCTTCATACTGATAACAAATTTGGTGGAGTGGAAGGTATACCCAATCCCATCCTTTGGAAAATCATAGGTTTGTTTATATTCCCATTGTCAGGATTAATGCAAAAGGGACACAACTAAATGATGAGAAAATAAAAGACAGAGGTGTTGAAAATATGAATTAGAAGTGGCACAACACTGGCAGCTTTTTATCTTGATTAATTATAAAACAAACAGAAGCATACAGATTCAATTTTCCAGAAAACACAGATGACTTAGAAAAGAGGGGGAAGAGAATGAACCTGAAACAAAGTACTTGCATCCATTCTCATTAAAGCCAAAATATTCACATCTCGCTTTAGGAGCACTGTTTATTAACCCTCTGTCCCTTAGGTTGGAGTTTGAGTACAGTGAATGTGAACTGAAACCCAACCCTGCCCCTCTCAAGCTGTGAGAACTTGGCCTAGTACTGAGCCTGGTTTAGATATATTTGCCTTCATTTGATCCCTTTTTTCCCCTCCCTCTCCACAGCTTAACCAGCTAGAAAAGGCAGTGGAAGCCGCGCACACATTTTTCATGGCCAACCCTGAGCACATGGAAATGCAGCAGAACATTGAAAATTACAGAATGATGGCTGGCGGCGAAGCGTTCCAACTGGTAGATCGCGAAGCCAAACCGCACCTGGTGAGCTCTGGGGACCCCTGCCAACCATGCGCAGCTAAGTGCTCCTAAGTTTCATTTGACTCAAAGCAGGTTCCTGTGAATGGATATCTCAAATTGGTTCCTGATTTCCAATATAGTGACATTTTTATATTTTTAGAGTTATTAAAGTATTATAATTACTAGGGTTGAAAAAATGGAGACAATGAAAATCAATTTAGAAAGTCAGTATAATATGGTGCAAAGTAGAATACAATATAAATATTTGTAACCCTTTCTGAGCTTCTGCACCCCCTTCAACACGTATTTTTCACCTGGAACTTGAAGCCAATGTGCATTGCTCAGGTCACACTGTAGTTTTCTAGTTCCAAGTCCGGTGGTTTTCCCATTGTACCTGTACTTTCAAATTCTGGGGTTTTTGTTTTAAGCCATATAATTATTTGTTTAAGTCAAATCTTACTTAAAACCACACTATGTTGGCCCTGGCCATTGTGGCTTAGTGGACAGAGCATGGGCCTGTGCATCATAGGGTCATGGATTCAATTCCTGGTCAAGGGCACATACCTGGGTTGGAAGTTCTCTCCCCAGCCCCTGTCCAGGTGTGTCTGGGAAGCTGTCAATTGATGTGTCTCTCTCACATTGATGTCTCTCTCCCTCTTCTCCTCCCCTCCTCTGTCTTTAAAAAAAAAACTCAATGGAAAAACATCCTCAGATGATGATTAACAACAACAACAAAAAAAATCAGTGTTGAGAGGGGTTCTTTTACAATTAGAGATGCTGCTATTATCAACATGTTGCCTCCAAGATGATTAGAGAAGATAATAAGAGAGAAAGATTTTAAAGGGAAGCCCCATTTTTTAAAAATTGGTCCAGGCCACGTGATGGTTACATCCATATGTCTCCTTGCACTTGGTTGCATAGCCCTAACTACATTCAAAGGTTAGAAAATATAGCTTCTTTTTTCTTTTTTAGGGAAAGGACTAGGTCCTGTGCAGCAAGAAAAACCCAGAACTTAGCATTATTCCAAGCACACAATTGCATTGCTCTTTAAGTGAGATGAAGAGATATAAATCAATACACGTTATAACTACAGCACATTTTGGTAACCTTTTTCTGGCAGTATTTGGCCTGGCAGTCTAAGGTCTCCAGCTAATAACTTCAAGATCTCATATATTTTTTTTATAATTGTTCAGTTCCTTTTCCCACTCTTAGCCCCGTATGTCACAATTCCATTAAATAAGTAGAGACGCAGTTGAATCTTTGTGGTGCGTCTTATTGATCAGACAGCTGGCGATCTGAGAGAGCGGCAGGTGTAACACCCTGAAAAGACCTCTCTGACATTTCACTACAAATAAGCTCTTATATAGGGGTTGTGAGTGGGGGAAAATGTAAAGTTAGTGAGTTCCTGAGGTCTGTCTCCTTTCATTGTCCTTGTAAAGTTAGCCCAGAATCAGACAGATTCTGTCCTTGAGCTGGGCTCTGGGCTGCCTTATCTCCCGGGCATGTTCTCCTTCTTGTGATACGTCCTTTAGTTTCCCAGGGTCTGTAAGAAAAAAACTCTTCTCTAGAGTGAGTAGCTATTAAACAACTGTGATTTTTCTATTTTTATTTCATGACCCACCCCTATCATCTCCACTGTTAGTTTTAAGTCTTATATCTGTGAGATTAGGTTTATATGGAAAGCATCTCACTGCTGGAGGTGGGGTGGGCAGAGTCCTGCTTATCCCGAGGCATTACAGTCCAATTACAGATGCTTCACTGTCTTTTCCACAGGGTAGGAGAGGGCGTTGAAGCCTGGGATGCGGCCCATGTTCCCATTTATCATATATTCCACCCCAACGTGGGAACCTTCCTTTCCTCTCCCATACAGTCTGCTCATTATGCCTTTCCCATGTATCCTGGGGAGGGAGGAGAATGGGTGAGACATAGTATTTGTTTTTTACAGCAGTAATATAACATACAGGAAAGGAATAATGGACTCATATATAATAGATTTATACACATTAGTATCAGAGTATATACAGTTGATTGTCAGTCCTAAGAAAGCTTTTGAAATCATGTTGAAATTGGACCGTTCTGTCAGGTTGACTGGATATGTTTCCCAAGGCAGCCCAGCAGTAGCAGAAAGGGGGATCCCTTAACACACCTAACAGTCAGAGACATTGGACTGGAGAGCCCTTTCGTTAGCCCATCATCTCGCAAAGCTGTTAGCCTGCACTGAACTAAGGAGAATAAGGCAAATGTTTAGTAAGCATCAACAGAGGCAAATTACCACCAGTGGGTAGTATACAGACCATTGCTTTATCCTGTATAAGAATAGTGCCTTGTTCAGGTGGTCTCCTGGACTTCTATATCATACCTTTTAACAGGTGACATTCCCTCTGGCCTGGAATACTAGCTGTGGGAGGAGGAATACAAATTTGCCAGATGGAATAGTGGTTGACCACTTATCAATTATGTTAGTTGTATCACTAATCCCTGGGCAAGACCCTCCCCTATAGGGCTAGGAAAGTACACCAGTGGGTACCAGTTTGAGTTTCCCAGGGCCAGGTTAATATACTAGCTCTAGGGTATATGTCTTGGGGTGCTGGCAACAACAGGTTATTCTCTGCTCCCCAACAAGGTCTTATTTTCAGCCCCTTTCCATACCTGGGACAAAAACTCCTTTGGGATGCATAGTCTCCCCTGTTGCTTCCAGAGACCCCCATGACATCCCCTCCTAGGTGACATGTATATTCAATTCCCCAGGTAGGGCTGGATTATAGATACCAAACACCTGTACCCATTTAACCATTCTTTGGCCTTCTTACAAGCCCACTGGTGTATCTCCTGCCAATCCTACTGTTGTCTTTTCGTTATAAGAGCATACAAAGGTTCTAGGTGCAGAAAGCATAGTCTTGAGTGCACTCAGAAAGAAAATGAAATTGATTGGTGCCACAGTAGTTGGCTTGCTCAGTAAGTCCTTTCTTTTTGACAGTTATTTGAAGCTAGGGAAGTTATACTTTATCTCCTAGTGCAACACTTTCTTATGCCTTCAAACCATAGGAGCCCAATACCCCACCTACCTAAGTGATCCAGTGTGTGCATGAACCCTGCTATGCAAGCGCCCTTTGGGTGCTCTTTGAAAAACAGTTTTTCTGTTTCTTTGCAGGAGAGTTACAGTGCAGGAGTCAAACATTACGAGGCCGATGACTTTGAGTCAGCTATCAAGTACTTCGAACAAGCTTTGAGAGAGTATTTCAGTGAAGATACAGAGTGCCGAGCTCTGTGTGAAGGCCCTCAGAGGTTTGAAGAGTATGAGTACTTAGGGTATAAAGCGGGTCTCTATGAAGCCATTGCAGGTAAAACTTACTTTTTTCTTTCATTTATTTTATGAGTATAGAAATACTACATGCAATCTGTAAAAATATTCCAGTAATATAGAAGAATATATTGTAAGAAATGAAAGGTTCTCATATATCTAAATAATCCTACCTCCTATAGATAACTTTACGTAGTTTAAATTTTGGTGACTGTGCTCCCAAACATTTTCAGATGCATATCTAAATAATTATGTATTTATCTATGATAATTTCATTTTTATAACATGGGACAATACTATAAATATTGATTATCAGCATATTTTTTTGTTTTATTTTATGCTTAACAATATATTGTGGACTTCTCATGTAAGTACATGTAGACCTACCTTATTGTATTGAATGGTTGCATAATGTTCCTTTTTATGGGCATGGCACAATTTATTTGGCCAGTTATTTACTGATGAATATTAAAGTTGCAATTTATTATTATTATAAACAGTGTAGTAGTGAATACTTTTGTATAGTTTTCTTCACTTATTTAAAAGAGTATTTTATTATATGTGGGAATTTAATGTGTTACAAAGTAGTATTTGAAATAGTAGGTAATGTTCACTCTACATTAATTGAGGAGATTGGCAAGTTAATCATTTGTGGTGGGGAGTGAGTTTTCTGCTGTATATTTAAAAATACACAAAAATGCATTCTATTTATATTAAAAATTTAGATATAAAAAACAAAACTGTTGGAAGAAAATGCAGGAGAATGTTTGTATAATAGTAGGAGAGGAAAAGCTTTTCTTTGCCTGATGGAAATAAGAAATATGAAGAAAAAGATAGATTTTAATAAGACTTATGAACATAAAAGATAAAATAAGCTGATTTACAAATGACAAGTGAAAAAATTGCAAAAAAATTTACAGGCAAAGTGTTCATATCTTTAATATTTAAATAGAGCAAGTAAATTATTATGAGTAGTCATTCATCTGTTATTTACTAGTAGTAATAATAATATATATTTGGCAGTTACAATATGCAAAGCACTTTACTTAGATCTTTTTAAATTTTCTATACAGCTTCTTGTGTAGATACTGTTGTTATTCACTCTCTTTTTTTGAATGAGGAATTTGTACCTCGGAAAGCTGAAGTGATGTGATCAAAGTGAAACTTGGGGTCAAGATCAGGCTCTTCCTACTCTTGAGCCCATACTTTAAAGGTCTACACAATTGAACAATAAGCAAAGAATAATTTATTCAGTAATAAAGGTTTAACAAAAACTGTTGGGTGTAGTGTGCTCCAAGTTATAAATATATGACAAATCGTGTTCAACTTCAAATATACTCATAGAAATGCAAATTGATGAAGTCAATATGCTCTTCCCAAATTCTAGTGTTTTCTGTCTCCACAAAAGGCACCTGGTAGCTTAAACCAAATCTCAAGAAGTTATCTTTCAGTCAAAAATTTTTTTTTCCTCTCTGATTTGTTACCAGACTTTGATAGATGTTACCTTCTAATAGCACTTAGAGTTCCTGGTTCTCTCCTTCTCTTATATTACCACCCTGGATCAAATCAACAGTATATTTCAACTAAGCCACTGTGATAGTTGATGGTTCTTAGGTCCTCTTCAGGTTTTATTCTGTAGGCGGGCAGAGCAGTCTTCTTTAAAAAGTGAAAATCTGCTCACAGACATGCTGGAAACTCCCCACTGACTTCCGCTACACTTGGAATAAAACTCAAAACAAAAACACTTTCATGACTGCACATGTATACGTTTTCATCTTTTTTTATTTTCTCTTTATGACCCATCCCTACTGTGGTTCTTTTAATTCTTTGGATATGTCAAGTTCATTTCCACTTACAGACCTTCAAAACATTCTTTTCCTTTCTCACTGGTGAATGCCCTCTCTGGTTCAGTGTTCATTCCTCAGCGCCTAAGTACGGAGACGGGCAAACAGTGGGTTCTTAGTAAACATGTATTAAATGAATGGGTTAAATGAGCCGAGGAGATGACATATCCCTCAGTGATACTGCAGAGATTAAAAGGATTAATAATACTCCGTATTTGTGAGCATGTAGGTCATAAATTGTTAAGGTCCTTGAGCAGGGCAATTGGGGAATATTTATTAAATTAGACAAGGAAATTAGACTGAAAATCAATTTGTCAAATGACAACTGGCCACACACTCAGTTACCCCGAATCAACTAGATTCACTTAAAAATCAATACCAGTATCTGAATTAGTGAGGGTTTCCCCCTAGAGTTGTGTCTCACTGGGCCTCTGCCGGAGCCCTGGCCTGCATTTTGGTGAGCACAGCTCTTCTGAATGTCAGTTTCATGTGCTTTACACTTCAATTGCTGTGTGTTTCTCCACAGAGCAATACTTTTGCTTTATCACAGCTCACTCACTGGATGTGGTTTTGTGTGGATATGTGTCCTGCCTCCACTCCCACATTTGCCTCTACCCATGCGTGCCCCTTAAAACGGATACCACACAGCCTTGGCAAATGTCCTAGACCTGGTTTAGGAAAATTGACTAACAATTCCCCACAGATTAACATTTAGTAATTTCCTCAAGGTCACCACAGCATGTTGTTTGCTGGAAAAGAATGGAGATCTCCTGACTCAGACTCTTAACACTTAACACAACTTCCAACACCATGATCCCCACTTCCAGGAAAGAAAATTGATTTTAAAAAGTCACAGTCCTTTCAGTTGAAACCAAAGACTATATATTATGGAAATATGGTACATCTTCTTGGGAATTTGAAACATTGTTTTTTTAATGAGGAAATTTAAAAAAGTATTACCACACGGTGTCTTGGATTTAAACTTATTAGAAACATATTAATTGCACAATAACATTTGGTAAAAGAAGCAAGGAATACAACTAATATAAAGTAATATTATAACTCTATGTAAATTCTCATTTGGTTCAAAACTGTCCTAAATTTGGAGTAAAACTGGCTTCTGAATACATTTCTAAAATGTAGTTAGAAAGCTGGAATATTTGAATTTTAGTGTTAGAAGAACATTAAAAATAGGAGAAATATACAAATGGCTTTTGAATGCAGTCATTTCTTACTAGCCCTGCTTGTTGACACCCTAAAAGATATTATTGTGTTACTCTTATTTTACTGCTATTTATATCCTGCTTTGAAAAATACTTTTATTCAGATTTTGAGTTCTTGGTGGGTGTGTTTCCCAACTTTTCCTTTTGGAATTAGAAGTGTGTGTTAGAAGGTAAACGACCAGCTAACTAGGAGAAAACAGTTAAGGGTTGTTTGTTGTTGTTTTCTTAAAAAATAAAATAGCTAGCTGTTTATTTCTAACATGCTAATCAAATAAACAGAATTCATTCTTTCCCTCTCATTCCCCTGACTGGAGTTAAGCATCTATGAACCGTAGGGATTCTATTAACAGTGCAATACTGGATCGAGTTGGGCAAGTTATCTAAAAATTGGCACATTTTCTTACACACCCAAAATGTACATTTCCTTCCTGTTGTGTTTTGGCATTCTTCTGCAAGGGCATCAAGATACAGTCTGAACTGTGCCTAACAGAGTAGCTTTTGAAAGAAGGCAGTTGTGGTAAATTAAATTGTACGAGCATGAAGTTAGATGGTTTTATCATTCTCAAGAGAATCGACTCACTCAACACGAGCATGAATGAAAAGTTTATTCTTTTGCTGAAAAAGACTACCTCCATCTTCATTGTAAAAATCAAAGTGGGGCAAAATATAAGAAGTTTGTTTGTTTTTTCTCCTCTGGTTCATTAGCTGCTTGTGTTTCTTCAGTTGATACTCAGCTGAGCCAGAGCCCAGAACTGAAGGGGGCATGAGGACCCCTGCCCCTCAGGATGGTGGCCTGTTTGCAAGCAGAGAGAGTGGGAACAAAGAAAGGGGAGCAGAGAAAGAGGGACAAAGTACTTATTTCAATTCTTCAGCTTTCGTCCTTCTCTCATTGTCCCATTCCCTACACTATTAGGATTTAAGGTAGCTAACTGTTACCCAGGTGATGGACTCATTTGTAATTGGGCCAGAGGGGTTCCGAATCAATAGGCGTGAAGGAATATTTTTTTCTTTCCCTGTTAGGAAAGTTGCCTGAACATGTTAACGAGCAGAAGGGCATTCCAGTTCACTTCTCTGCAGTGAACTCCCCACCCAAAGGGCAGTTCCTTTCCCTCACCTGGTCCTCAAGGAAAACAGGGCCCGGACTGCTCATCCTGACCCTGGGACACTTCTGCCTATGGAAATCTCCACGCAGAGGCCCTGAAGTTGTTATAACAGGAAAGCCAACTAGTCAGCTGGGCGTGAGTGGGGTGAGATGGCCTAGTCACTTTCAGGGGATGGATAGAAGTCACGTGCACGGAAGGGAAGAGTGTAGTACAGAGAAAAGGCCAGGAGCCCAAAGATTTGGAATCTGCTGTTCGTTACTCTGGTGATCACTGATTGGGAGGCCTTGGCAAGTGCAAAGGATAATGAAGATACGGTTGTCGGTGTGGTGAGGTGAGGAGTGTCCTGTGGAACTGTGGTCTGACATGGAAGTGGGCGCTGGGCGGACTCGAGGGACTCACTGGGGCTCTTGTGTTCCAGATCACTACATGCAGGTGCTGGTGTGTCAGCACGAGTGCGTGCGGGAGCTGGCCACCCGCCCCGGCCGCCTCTCTCCGATCGAGAACTTTCTTCCCCTGCATTATGACTACCTACAGTTCGCCTACTATCGAGGTAAAGCGTGGGTCATCCACGAGGACCTTCGGGGCGGGGGTGGTGCGCACCATCACAGAATCACACTCTCATCTCTTGCCGCTGCAGCTCAGGACAGATGAGCAGGAGGTGCAACTACAAAGGGGCAAAGGCCCTGATAAAGTCCTGAAATGTATCCTAGACTGGCATTCTCTGTGATTGTTTACATTTGATTTTTCAGCTTAATTAGAAAAGGTAATACACTCACAGGTGCAGAGAACAAATATAAAAACCTCGCTCTTCCCTATAACCCAATTTTATGCCCTACAACATAAAATGTATCCCTACACAAATTTCATATGCAAATGAGATACACACACACTCTGGTTTATTTCTGCCTTTTACCATGACAAAGATAGCATACTATTTCCACTGTTTACTACATTGTTTTCTTTTTTTTGGTACATGCCCCCAGCGGGAACTGAACCTGGGACTCTCTGATCCACAGGCCGACGCTCCAACCGCTGAGCCAAACCGGCCAGGGCTACATTGTTTTCTTCACTTAATAATACATATCAGAATTTTTTAGAAGATTGGACCTATGAAATTACCATTTCCTTATATCAAATTTTGGTAATTTTATGATTCAACTAAATTGTATCAGTACATAGAGACCTTCCTCATTAAATTTTATTTATGTCTATCATTGTACTACATATAATTCATTTCCTGTGATTCTTTACTAATGGGCATTGTGTTGGTTATCATTTTTGGTATGATAATCAATGACAAAATGAATAATATTTTACATATGGTACTTTACATTTATACATAAATATCTAAAATGGGTTTCTATGAATTAAATGGTTTATTCATTTGTAATTTTGACAGACATTGCCAATTTTTTTTCCATGGATAACATTTTTCATTGCTCATCAACAGGATATATTATCAAATTGTCAGATATTCCCCAATTCATTAGGTGGACATTGATATTTCAATATAGTTTTAATTTACATTTATCTAAGAGAAAGAGAGATTAAACATCTTTTCTTATAGTTAAGAGCAATGAATAGGATTTTAATTGCTGAAATATGTCTTAGAAATTATGTTGTCAAACTCGATACATAAATCAGAATTAGGTTTGGCTCAGCAATTAGAGCGTCGGCCCGCAGACCAGAGAGTCCCCGGTTCGGTTCCCACCAAGGGCATGTACCTCTGTTGCAGTTTGTCCCCGGTCATGCTGGGGTCATGTGAGTGGCAACCAGTCAATGTGTTTCTCTCATGTTGATGTTTCTCTCTCTCTCTCTCCCTCCCTCTCTCCTTCCTGCTCTATCTGAAGATGAATGCAAACAATGCAAAAATGTCCTTGGGTGAGGATAAAAAAAAAATCAGAATTAACTCCTCAGCTTCTATCCTGAGTATCTCTATTAAATAATATAAGTTGTCAAAATACATCTTCGGGTGGAAACTTTAGATAATTTGTGCAAAACATCTGACATCAAAGCAGACCAAAAGTAGACCCATTGGAAGAGCTGAAATCGTGTTCTTTGTTCTACCTGTAACTATTCCTGGTTACTCTCTTCAGTCTCACCTTATCTTCCCTCACTGATGTGCAAGCTGACCTCTCTCAGACGTGTTGAAGAGCCTTCAAAACCCTTTCCACAGACCTAGGCTGACTTGAGTGCTTCAACCCCTCGGTCTTTCAGTTGGTGAATACGTGAAAGCCCTGGAGTGTGCCAAGGCGTATCTCCTTCTGCATCCGGATGACGAGGACGTCCTAGACAACGTGGATTACTATGAGAGCCTGCTGGACGACAGCATGGACCCGGCATCCATCGAGGCCAGAGAGGTGAGCCCAAAGTCCCGAGGAGAAATTCCAGATTCTGCTAGGTGCTCCGGGGAGAGTTAGTAAAAAATACAACACTGCATTTCAATATACCTAAAACTTAGTAAAGGTTCTGGAAGCCAGTCCTTTTGAACTTTATTAATGCCAGAAGCATATTTTTTCATATGTGCTAGCTTGTAAACATCTGTGGAGATGGAGACATTTTTGCAGCTCTAAATATATTGTTTTACTTACTGTCACTGTCTAGTGAAAACGATTTCCACTTGAACATTTATCATCTCTTAACTGCTATTTAAATGTAAATTTTTTCTTTTTTTTTTCCTCTCTTTCCTTCTCTCTCACTAGGATTTGACAGTGTTTGTGAAGCGTCATAAACTGGAATCAGAACTAATAAAATCAGCTGCGGAAGGCCTGGGGTTTTCGTACACTGAACCGGTAAGAGCCAAGAGGGAAAAGGAAATGTTTTTTAAAACAACTGTTCAGTGGACTTTTTACTTATAATTCGGTTGCCCAGACTCATTTGTTGAAGATTCTAATACCATGCCAGAACAAAAAAGGGATGTGCATGTTTTGGGGTGGGGGGTGTTGTTTACTCAATATAAGTGATAAACAAACTTTAGAAGATTTGTACAGATGTCCAGATCTCTGAGATCCCAAGTCAAGAGCAAATATATGTGGATAGAAGGGAAGTTTTTGTACATGATGCATTTACCGCAGGTTTATTTCCTAAATTATGGATACAGCATTTTGTATTTTCTCATAAACGTTTAAAAGATTTCAACCACAACAAAATTAATCATAATTACACTACCCAACATGCTGACTTTTCATCATTCTTCATATGAAGACATGCCTTTGGCAGAACTAGTGCCATGGTACATAGATAGATTTCTGTTTTGACTTTTATTTCAGGAACCATAAGCATCTCTATATTTTTTACAGTTTCTAAAATTATTTTAGCTACATATATACAGTTGATGTACAATAAATGAACTCTCCTGATGGTGAACATTTGATTTGTTTTCTCTTATACTTAATGCATGAAGCATTTTTCTCTCTGTTGAACTGCACTGTTTGAATAAATTCCCAGGAATGGGATTACTCTGCCATCAAGGGATATGAGAAGTTTTAAAGTTCTTGAAATTGCTTTTCTGAGAGTATTTTTTGACACCTTTATTGCTCCTAGCAATGCATAAAAATACCAGTTTAATACCAACATCTCAGCAATGGGAAATGACATTTGAAATCACTTGTATTAATTATATATTATATACAAAGTGGTACATCATTGTTGTGTTAATTTGTGTTCCTTTTATGACCAGCAAAAACAAACTTTTCACATGTTATTATTAATTGTTTTTCCTCTAATTTGAATTGCCTAGATATACTTTTGTTCTTTTATCCGTTGGTTATTATATATGTTCTTTATATAATTTACATGTCATGTGTTTACAAAAAGTACTGTTTGCAGAATATCCTATTTGTAACATTTTTTTTCATTTCTGTCTTAGTTAAGTCATGTTTTATTGGCACATTTTAAAAATTAGATTAATTTTAATTTACCAGTTCTAATGTAACATTTCTCTAATAGTTTTATTTAGTCTTACCTATGACTTTTTTCTAAAACTTTGTTTATCCCAAGAGACCCCAGAAAAAGCTACTTAGTCACTGGATTGTCCTGTAGAGATGGTTAATGGAGCTGGAATTTTTGTTCGATTTATTTATAAAACATAAGGGAGTTAGACTGACTGACTTTCTAAACGTCTTCCTAACACCAAATGGTAAATCACTTTCTTGGACAAAAGAAGGGATGTCCAGGGTCATTCCAAACAATTTTTTTAAAAATCTGTATATTATTTTGTCTTTGTCAAAATTGTATTAACGTTAGCCTTTCTTTTTATTACTTTTCAAATAAAAAATATATGCCCTGGCCAATTTGGCTCAGCAGTTAGAGTGTCAGCCTGTGGTCCAGAGAGACCCGGGTTCAGTTCCCGCTAAGGGCACGTACCTTGGTTGCAGTTTGTCCCCGGCCCTGGTTGGTCGTGCGGGTGGCAACCACTCGATGTGTCCCTTTCACGTCGATGTTTCTCTTTCTCTCTCTTTTCCTCTATCTCCCTCCCACTCTGTCTGAACAAAAAATGGAAAAATGTCCTTGGATAAGTATAAAATGTATCTTTATGTAATATGAAAGTTTCATAGCATTTTAAGTATTTTGAGTGTTTTAAGAGTTTTCTATTTCTGTAAGTAATGTTCTAGTGACACACTACTGAGTTTGTTTGTGTTTTGCAGAATTACTGGATTCGTTATGGAGGACGACAGGATGAGAATCGGTGAGTTCTCCATTCAGACACCAACTGTTTATTTTTTAAAGATTTTTCAAAGGTATACAGTTTCTTTTCCTTTTTAAAAAAATTTTCAGTTATGGTTGCCGGATGGGATGGGGTTTGCAGAAACGGGTGAAAAGGGGGAAGGGAGTAAGATGTATAGATTGCCAGTTATAAAGACAGTCATGGGATGTAGAGTACAGCATAGGAATAGAGTCAGTGATATTGCAATAACTATGTATGGTGTCAGATGGGTATTAGACTTATCGTGGAGATAACTTTATAAGTTATGTGAATGTCAATCACAGTGTTATACACCTAAAATTAATATAATGTTGTTTGTCAACTGTTTATTTTTAATTAAAATAATACTTAGAGAGTCATACCTATTATAAGAAACTTAGCTGTATAAGTAGGCAGAAAAGATAAAAGAGTTCCAGACTGGAATCAGGAGCTCGGCATCCTGGTCCCAGCTGTTCCTGTCACTTCTGTGTAAGCTTGAGTCACTTATTTTCCTCTCTGGGTCTCGTGTTTTTCTGTAAATCAAGGAATTGAATCAGGTGATCTCTGAGGGCTAAACATTCTGTAATTCTAAAGCAGAGAAAATTGGATTTAAAAAATTTCTTAGTATAAAAAAGCTCAGAAAGCTTTACTGCAAGCTAAAATAGCAGGTGTCACTAACTCAATTAGAAATGAAGACAACAGCCCGGCTGGTGTGGCTCAGTGGTTGAACATCAGCCCATGCACCAAGAGGTTACTGGATCAATTCCTGATCGGGGCACTTGCCCAGGTTATGGGCCTGATCCCATTTGGGGGCATGCAGGAGACGGCCAGTCGATGTTCTCTCTCATCGATGTTTCTATTTCTCCCTTCTTTCCCTCTCTCTCTCTCTCTCTCTCTCTCTCTCTCAAATCAATAAAGAAAAAAAATTTTTTTAAAAGATAACATTTTTTGAAATGAGAGAAGTCAAAAGTCAATTTACACATTATGAACAATTCAAGGAAACATAGGATGTTGGGGTTACATGTCTGAGATCACATAAACTAGCCTAATCATTTTCAAATTCTAAGGCTAAGGACCTGACAAAGCAAAGGACTCTTTTAGAGTCTCACACCACGAGGGCCTGGCACATCCAGATGTTCTTACTCAAAATCTTGTGGACTTTCACTAGACCTCAAGGACTCAACCTCAGGGTGGCCTAGAATTATTGCAGAGAACGAAGAATGTGTATGCGCATTTGGATGTGTTCAATCTGTGCGTATTGAAAGAACATCATGCTATCATTTGTGTATTTGCAAAGTTTGACACAAATTTGTGTCTTCCTTCTTCAAATAGTTGAGAACCACTATACTCGGATGTGATTTATTTTAGTTCAATCATTGTTCAGTGATGAACACTCTATGTTCAAGACATATAATGTGACACTCTGAGCATTATACAGATGCACATGCTAATTTTTTCCTGCTCTGTTGTGATTCAAAGTATAAAATTAAGGGGGTTAAGTTATGGATGCAATTAACTGTAATGAAGGTTGCTAAGAAGATTTAGAGAAGTGAAATAGAGCACACTCAGTGAAGAAATGGAAAAGAACTCATGGGCCCTGGCCAGGTAGCTCAGTTGGTTGGAGCATTTTCCCCATATGCCAAAGTTGTGGAGCACATACAAGAGGCAACCAATGAATGCATAAATAAATGGGACAACAAATCGATCTCTCTCTCTCTCTTTCTCTCTCTCTCTCTTCCTCTTTCTCCTGAAAATCAATATATGAGGAGGGGGGAAAGAACTCATGGAGGCAGTGACATTAATTTTTTATCTTGAAAGATAGGTCGATTTCTGTACCACAAGAATATAAAATGTGAAGTCATAGATTACCGGGTAATGTGTCCTTTGCCTTTGAACATCTTTATTCAATGGGAAATTGCTCTTTCAACTTTTTTGAGTGAACAGGGTCCCTTCAGGAGTAAACATGGAGGGGGCAGAAGTTCATGGATTGTCAATGGGGAAAAACTCGTCACCCAAGATAGACCGAGATCTAAGAGAGGGTAAGTATCTATGCAGTAATACTTTTAGAAGGAGGATAAGGATAGGATGGGACTTGACCTGTTCTTATTCAGATCAAGGAAAAATCCATTTCTCTGGACTATAAAGAAAAAGACTAAGCTACTACAGTTCACAAGATTCTGAAACCAAGGCTTAAAAACAAGAATGTCTCAGATTTGTATATTATTACCTTTGGTTCCCAGCAAAAGGACTTCTGTTTCCCACAGGAGTCCTGAGAGCCAGGTAGGGATTGTATGATCATTGCCATTATCAGTTGAGTATCTGAGGCTTAGAGATGTCACATAGCTTACATCTGTCACATAGTAAATATATGCTAGGTAGTATGGAATAGACTGTGTATCAGAGGAACTTGAAGAGACAACTTGCATGGGACATTAGATTAGTTCATCTAAGATGCTTGAGGCACATATATTTGAGCAGGGCTATGAGAGATAAGTAGAATTTAGGTTGAATTGACAGAGATATAGAGGGAGCCATTCTAGTAGATAAAACAAGTGGAACAAAGGCACAGAGATGGAGAGAGTAGAACATCATATGCCTACATAAGATCAAAATTAGTGGAGATATAGATGGAGAGTTCTCAACAGTAGTTTTTATTTTTTATTAATTTATTTTTGTTACAGATGTTTCTCCTTTTTTTCCCATTGACATCCTCCTCCTGATCCTGCCCCCCCACACACACACATACACACAGCATTGTTGTCTATGTCCATTTGTTATGCATATATGCATGTAAGTTCTTTGGTTTATTACTTCCCTTCCCCCTGCCCCCCTCAATCCAAACATTGTTATAATAACAGATTATTAGCAATGGTAGTACTAATTGCAGAAGTAATCCTTAATTATTATTTCTATGTTTGATCCTTTTTCAAGCAAATTTATGCACAATGCATTTTATTTTATTTATTTATTAAATTTTACATTCAGTATTATTTTGTATTAGTTTCAGGTGTATAGCATAGTGGCTAGACAGTCACACACCCTACAATAGTCACATTTCCTTTTAATACTGGCAGCATCTCAGGTGAGAACAATATCCCCACTTCACAGAAAAGAAAAATGAGGCTCACAGAGATTTAGCGACTTGTTCAAAGTCTCACAGTTCATAATAGGTTGAGCAGGTATTTAAACCCAAGCTTTGGAATCCAAGCCCCATTTTCTCTTCTTCACCCGATGATGGAACATAGAAGTGTTGAGATATCCATAATGTACCCTACTGATTAAACAGTTGCAAGATAAGAAGAGGTTTTCAAAAACCTGCATTGAGAAGAAGTATAGTACTCCTTTCCCAGACGAGAAGCTTGCCTGCACAGTCTTCTAGCTGAATTGAAAACTACTGGCTCTCTAGAGCCCATATTTCCCAGCCCTTTCTTTCCTTAGCTTCCAAGTCAGTTTGAGGCAGTAAACAGAATAATATGCTCATCTAATCTGACCTAGACCTTAATTTGTAGCCACAAAGCCCAAGCTGTTTCACAAGTGCTTCATGGTCAGCCAGAGTTCATGCTGCTTTTGAAGCCAAGAAATCACCCAGGAAGTACATGGCAGTAAGCCAGCACTTTGCTGTGAAGGTTTGGGAAACTCCGGGACAGTTGCCAAATTTCAAAGCATTATTTTTCCGGCTACCTAGAAATCTGATATCCAGCAACTGACGAGGAAGATTAATGGGAAGAGTCGAACAGAAGACTACACAGGATGGAGAAAGATCGCAATTGGCTGGGTTACCAAATTCTATCATTTCTGTGGAATTTACTTAGTTGAATTCAGCTAATGGATCTTAGATGTTCTCTGGGAATCCACTGGAAAGCTTTCTGTACAGTCTCTAGAGACCTAAATAGTGTCTAAATTAAGAACAGTGTTGAACGGAGGCAAATTTCCCAAACAGAAAACACTTTCCTATCCTAGCCTGGCTGAAAGTAGGTAACAGGGAGACAAGAAAGGATGCATGTTTCACAGAGTAGAATGTATTCCAGCTTTCCTTGTTTTCCACGAAGAGATTGTCATCCACTCTGGTTACCTAACAGTAGTCAGTCATTCCAGTTGGACAGCTCCCAAGTATAAGATGGGAGTGGCCCAGGGTGATGCTATCCTATGGAACATACATGTCAACTTCCAAAAACCACCTGTCACTGATCCGTTCTCCTTTCAGCCATCGGATCTTGGTAATGATCCCAGTGTCAGTGGGGTGAGAGTAGACATAACTTTGGACTTGGAACCAGGAGAGCAGGGTTCCTGGATTGCCCTAGTTGGAGGTGCTCTGAAGTGACGGATATCTAGAGACTCCATCTCCCAGGGCCCTATGCCCTTCATCTGTGCAACAAAGACAGCAGCTGCTGGAGAGAATGAATGTGTAACGTCTTTTATAAACTTTAAAGGGTTGTGCTTATATAAGGGCTTCTTAGCCAGCCCCCTTGTCATGGACTTTACAATATTTACAGCAAAATGACTCTTCTTGCTGTGAGCCACAGACGATGAGCACAAAGGAGTGTTTTCCTAGACGATGCCTCTTTATTGCAACTGGAGCATCAGAGCCAGGCACATACTTCATGAATGAGAGAAGAATTAAGTTAACTAAATCTCCTTGGGTTGTGGTTAAGCGTTGGCTGAAGCCTTCAAACCAGGACCCAGGAACCACAACTTATTGGACTACATTTTTATTTTTATTTTTTTCCTATCTGGTGTGCTTCTACTCATTTGTAGGTTGGTCGGCTTGCATTTTTGAATGGCAGTGTTTCTTTTTTCTTTTTTTTTTTACCCTTTTGGTTAGTGGGTAGTTAGTTCTTTTTTGTTAAATGTGTGTATGGGAAACCTTTGTGTACAACTGTGTAGTGGTGACGGTGTCAGCTATGTGAAAGGCAGATTTTTGGTACAGATTCCGCCTGAACCTGTCAGGGTTTGGGTATTTAAGACTCAATTTGCATTCTGCTCCTTCACCTGATCTGTGTATATTACTTACAACATGGCTGGGGAATTGTCATATCTCAGTAGTTCTCTTTTATTTACTTACTTATGTTTTAATCCTTATCCAAGGATATGTTTTTAGTGGTTTTTGAGAGAGAGAGAGAAAGAGAAACATTGATATAGGAGAGAAACATCCATCATTTGCCTCCTGTACATGCCTGGACCCACAACCTAGGTTTGTGCCCTCACAGGGAATCAAACTGCAACTTTTTAGTGTACGGATGATGCTCCAGCCAATTGACCTACTCAGCCAGGATCAGTAGCTCTCTTTTAATCATACTCCATTATGCTTATTAAGATGACTCAGATAGAACTTAACACAATATACCAGGCATATACTACTAATTCAATAAGAATTATAATAATAATTGTAAATACTTACACAGAGCTGAAGAATGGTAGACATTTTCCTAAATGTTTTAGTTTTAGTAACTTTTTAAAATAAGTTAATTATATTGAAAGTAATGCACTTTCAATATAGAAATTGTTTCCATAGTCTATTGGTTAGAAGCAAGATCCAGGCCATGCCCACACTTGAGGGAAGCAAAGAAAAACATGGCAAAGGTCAAACCAACCTACTTCACTAAACTCTTGGTCTGTCTTCCATTTCTATTTGAATTTTATATTAGAAAATGCTGTTCAGTGAACCTATGAGAATCTTGTCTTTCTTGTTGAAGGAAAATCTCTGTTAATGTTCTAAATGGGAATGAAATACGCAGTTGACTTCTCCAAATAGTTGAGGGACAGCCTGGATTTGGCTGTTTCTTAACTGATATATAGATTAGAGCAACCTTCCCCAAGCAAACTATGTTTTGTTTTAAGAAGTTCCATGATGGGGGAAAAAAAAAGTGTACTGTTGTTTTTTATTGCTATGAAAAACATTAGCACAAATGTAGCTTACTATTTCCCAGTGCCTCTGGGTCAGAAGTCTGGGGAGAGCTCAGCTGGATCTGTTGCCTCGAGGTCTGTTTGATCAGGGCTGGCATCTCTTCCACAGCTTGACTGAGGAACTGTCTTCTTCCAAGTTCAGATGACAGAATTTGTTCTTAAGGGCTTATTGGACTGTAATCTTCAGTTCCTAGTTGGTTGTTGGCTAGAGGATGCCCTCAATTTTTTGCCATGTGAGCCTGTCCAATCCAGCCACTTGCTGCATCAAGTTGCAAGCTGAGAAGGCAATAGACTGAGTCTACTAGCAAGATAGACGTTGCAGTTCTATCTAATGCAATCACAGGAGTGATATCCCATAATTGTTTCCATAGCCTATTGGTTAGAAGCAAGATAGACATTGCAGTCCTATCTAATGCAATCACAGGAGTGCTATCCCATAATTGTTTCCATAGCCTATTGGTTAGAAGCAAGATCCAGGCCATGCCCACACTTGAGGGAAGCAAATTACACAGTCTTATGAATACCAGGAGGCAGGGTTCATCTTAGAGTCTCTCTGCTAGAGGAAGGGAGGGAGGGAGAAGGAAAGGAGGGAAGGAGGAAGGAAGGAAGGAAGGAAAGAAGGAAGGAAGGAAGGAAGGAAGGAAATTGTGCTCAATTAAGGGTGAAAACTACTGCATATTATATTGATACTTAGGATATTCATAATGCCTCTTTTAAGAAGTCCTCTTAAATTTTTTATAATGCAGAACTTCTTAAACACATTTGATGAAGAAACATTTTTTTCATAAAAAACATTTCTGTAGAAAAAAGTTTGCGAAACATTGAACTATAGAAAAAAATATTCTTTTTCTATTCATCCAAAAGATTTGGTACTGAAAATGGGAGCTTGTGAGTATATTCCCAAAATCCAGAAAATTTTGTATTTATAAATTTTGTTGACAGTTTAAAAATACTAAGAGAGTCAAGTAGTGGGTCATCTGAATAACGATCTTACAGCCAAGTGCTGCCTTGAGATTTCACCCCTCAGTGTGGGGGGTGCCGTTATCATCACATTGGCAGCAGTTAACAATATCCAATGGCTGGAAACTAACAAGGACTAAAGTACTATGAATTTATAAATAATGTATTAGGACCAGATGAAGGCCAAAATTCATCATGGTACACTAAGGTTTTGTAGTAGTTTCAATAGAGGCAAGTTTTGGTAGAATAAATGAGCTATTAACACCAGAAGTCCTAGACAGGCATTGGCTCAAAGACCCTGGGCCAGATCTGTTAGGAGAACATTCATGTGGAATGTTGCTTTTTGGTTTCTGCAAAATAACATTGACCATTTCAATCATAGTGCTAATTTTCATCCAGTTGGTTTATGGTCTTGCTTTTATTTAATCTTGTAAATTGGTTTTTGGTATTATAGTTACACGAAATCATAAAAATAAATACTGAGTTCATAATTTTGTATTTTCAAATATGGAAGTAAAATTACAGTACAAATAATTTGTCAACACCGCAGTTCCTTAGGGAACTTTTGTTCTAACAGATAACCACACATTACTCAAGATTGAGAGACACTGCCTTATTATTTTAACGTTCCATTAACTGTGGGTTGTAGTGACTCTTTATCCTAACTAGACTAATAAACCCTTAGTACTGCTCCCTAATTTGACTAATCTATTTTAAAGCAATAGAGTAGATACCAATTTCATTGTCTCTTCTTCCTCCAACTGCCCTGTTGTGGACCAGCCTGCTCACGGCCAGTGTTCGACCGTGGGGGGAAGGGAGGAACTGCGCCCTCCCCACCGCTCCCTCCGGGGTGGGCTGTCGATATTGACAGGCACATAGCAGGCTCCTTAGGAGTACTGGAAAGAGTAGAAAACCAGTGTTTTTCTCTTCTGTTCACTTTTCTGGTTCGAGATGGTTATACTCGGTTAAATCTGAAGATTTCCTCACTGTCAAAGGTTTTATCCTTGAATCCTACTGTCTGTGAGAAAAAGACCTTGTCAGATCTAGATTTTATAATGTCACTACCCAAAACATGGCCCAGATGCATCCTTCTCTGAAGAGCCTTTGTAGGGCTAATTTCATAATGTTGTGGTCTCTATCCAGGGAGAGAACAGGTGTCTACAGGAAACCATCCTGTGCAAAGACGATGATATAAAGATATGTCCAGAGAGCAGAGTAGAATAAATGTTCCAAAAGAAAAACCACATAGAGTCGGGTGGTGGTATAAAGACGACTAGGAAGGAATCGGTTGACTTGGGTGATGGGGCATTTACTACCTGCGTTTCCTGGTGAAGGCATCACTCTACATACCCGTGACACTGAGATGTTTATGTCACACCTGGGGACACAGCCATGTCATCAAGTAATTGCATGTGATGCTACAGCAGCGGTAGGAACTATTGGAGCAGAGTGAGTCCAATTGTTGTGAGAATTCTAGAAAGTCTTTCCAGAGGAGATTCCTGTGAGATGCTCAGTCTGCTTTACAGGATCAACACTGGAACCCAATGCAAAGCTAGTTTATCAAACACTAGATACTATGCAAATGTAATACATTGCCATGACATGTCTCAAAAACCTGAATCCATATTGTGTTTTTCCAACTCCAAATTTGTCATTTGTCTCAGTCCTAAATATCCATGAGGAAGCTGCCCCTCCTGAACGGCACCCTGCAAGCTGGTGGGTGCTCTGTGGTTCCCGCCGGGGGACAGAGGTCACAGAGGAGACAGTGTGCTCTGTCCCTTCAGGTGGTCCCCTGCTCTACGAGAACATCACGTTCGTCTACAACTCGGAGCAGCTGAACGGGACTCAGCGGGTCCTCCTGGATAACGTGCTGTCGGAAGAACAGTGCCGGGAGCTGCACAGCGTGGCCAGAGTGAGGACGCAGAGAGGGCGGGGCCTGACCGGGCTGGCCTGCTGCCAGCCTTCGAGTGCCCTGGGTCTGGTCTCAGCTGCAGCTCGAGAACCAGGCAATGTCACTTTGTTTAGGAGAAGGGCATTGACTTGGAAGGCACTTTCATAGTCTCTGGGTTGAGATGACCTTGGTTTTGTCCAGATCTGTATATAGCTAGTGGATCTGGAATAGTTAGCCGCTTAATTCCCAGGACAGCAATTGTCCAGCATGTGACCTGTCCACCATAGAAAGTTGCTGAGAAAGTCCCTTTATTTTAATCAATAATAACCAATATGTTAATCATTTATAGTCTACCTATTCCTACAAACAATGGTGGTTTTTTAATAATACGAATACAGCATAAAAGTTAAATAAGTGTATCTCTTTTTTGTTTGTTTTTTTTTGGTATGTGCCCCTAATGGGAACTGAACCCAGGACTCTCTGGTCCGCAGGCCGACGCTCCAACCACTGAGCCAAGCCGGCCAGGGCAGTGTATCTCTTTTGATTGGAACAATTGATACGGGCTCCTGGGACAAAAAGGGGCATGGTTCTGAGCATGGACTTTGGGCCAAAAGGGAGACCTGATGCATGCGTCATCATCACTAAGGGAACCTTATGTCGTCCTTCCAGGGAATCATGCTCGTTGGCGATGGATACAGAGGGAAAACTTCACCCCACACGCCCAATGAAAAGTTTGAAGGCGCAACTGTCCTGAAAGCACTCAAAGTAAAGTCTTAACTTGTTTTGGGTTTGGTCTGTGTGTCAATCCAGGACCTTCTGTGATTGGCAGACACAAGAAAGAGAAGAGCTTAGAATGTAGTTTCATCAGGACAGTCGAAGGGAGCAAGTATAAAATGCCTCTGCATTTTCTGTAATTCTTTCGTTATTCAGTCATCGATTAATCAGGCTTTATGTTTTCTAAATTTGTATCTGACAAATAACACACAGCTCCTCCGACGCCCCCCGCCACCCCCTGCTCAAGGAGCTCATGGTCCAGTGGGGAAAACATACCCAAACCAGTAATTATTCTGTATGGCAAGGAGGGTGGTTAGAGAGAAACGAGGAGCGTGTTGTGATGGAAGAGGAGAGAGAGTGATTAGCTTTCAGTGTTCTCTCTGTGAGTAGGAAGGCTCATTGCAATGGTTCATTTTCCCACCACAAGCATGTAGTGACATTCCCACTAGCCAACCCAGAGATGACCATTGTGCATTGGCTTACTGAACCCTCGTGTCTGTTTTCCTCAAGCTCTCCCATAGCCCGGTGGTACCTAACGTTCTCCTGTTTCTTCAGTTTGGTTACGAAGGCCGAGTCCCGCTGAAGAGCGCCCGTCTGTTCTATGACATCAGCGAGAAGGCTCGAAAGATTGTAGAATCCTATTTCATGCTGAACTCAACCCTGTATTTTTCCTACACACACATGGTCTGCCGAACAGCCCTGTCTGGTGAGATTTCAGAGTCCGAACTTGTTCTTCTACCCACAGGGAGATGAGAAAGAAAACAATGCGAATCAAAGCTGTTACATGACAGACACATGGTTCAAAAGACTTCTGTGTTTCTAAAAAGAAAGAAACTTACTCTTATTTTTTCTTCCCCCCTTTTCTCCTTTCTTGTCCCCTAAAGTACCAGCAGACCATCGCTCTGCCTATTTTCCCTTTCAAATCAGCTTTTCCTACTTGCTGAAGTCACACAGAAAAACTCTTTTCTGCTCTAGGTTTTACTCTTTGGGGAACTAGGGACCTGGAAATTACAGTCTCCTATTACCTCCGCAAGCATCGGGTGGTAGCATAGAAATAAATTCTCTTACAAAGTCAGAGGTTCTTCTCTAGATCTTCTCCTCCGTGCCATCCAGAGTAGGAGGGGACGGATATTGTCACAGGGCAGGACTTTCACACTTGAAGGTTCAGGGGAGGAATCAAAGCTTCGTTTACACTTGTGTGCCATCCTCCTTCTGTACTGCTCCTCCGCGTGAAGTGCAGCCCATGATGTGCCCGGGGTGTCGGCATGTGTGTTCACATCAGATAACCCATAGCCGAAGCAGCAGGTGTGACTTGCTCACAGTTTTCCATCAAGTTCACATCAAAGCCCGGCCAGAGTCTCCTGGGTCCTTTCATCTGTTCTGTTCGGCTGTCTGTCTCCTCAGCTTTGCAAGGGCTCCCGCGATGGAGGAGGCTGTCTGGTTGTCAGTGTTGCCGCTGGAGGTTCCAGCCTTCCTTTCATTCTTCCCTGGTCCCTTTCCTGGCAGGTCAACAGGACAGAAGAAACGACCTCAGTCATCCCATCCACGCGGACAACTGCCTGCTGGATCCAGAGGCCAACGAGTGCTGGAAGGAGCCTCCCGCTTACACGTTCCGGGACTATAGGTACAGCCGGCCCCTGCTTCAAAGCCGAGCTTGTGCCCAACCGTTAGCAAAGCCCAGAGAAACCAGAAAGCGGATCTTTTCCCTCGTCCTCACATTCATCTCTATGGAGCAGATTCTCAAGTAATCCTTTGAAGTAGCTGTTGCAACTGAGAAGCGACTTCATCATCTTATATTCTCATTTTAGAAATCCATGCATTTTTTATATCCTAGCCCATATAATGTCTGTTTTGTTTTAATATAAAAGTATAAAGTGTATATATATATATAATATATATATGTATATATATATATATATATATATATATATAATTTTGTAGTCACTTAGCATTCACTGAAATATCTTGTTTATGCATAGGGTTCTTATCACTTCACTTACCTATGTCTGTGCTTTATAAACAAGAAACCAGAAACTCAGGAGGGGAACATTGTTTTCTCTTACTGAAAGATGCTTTAGTGTGTAAAGAGAAGAGTCAGGAGTTGCAGTCACCGTGTAGATAATAGTGTGTTAATTATTATAGCTCTGTGCTCTGTGAAGACATATTCATTGGGTGCCCCCTATCTGCAAGGCTAGGCTACACCCCTTGGAGCTCTCCAGCTAGTTAGGGAAAAAAGACATTCTTTACAGTTACTAGTTTGACAGGAAACAAGAGAGTTGTGAGTAGTGTGGGCAGGTTCAAAGGGCTAGATTAAATCCAGTCAGATTTTCTTTAAAAGAAGTGAAATGTGAGATGAGCTTTAAACTATAATTACAAATTTAATGTAAGTGGAATAAATTAATAGTTCAAGGGTATGATACATACTACATCTGCTCTTACTCTTGAGGGTTAGGAGGGTCTTATTTCAATATCTGGTTCAAAGGAAACTAACCAGTTAAGCTGGTCGGTTCATCAGCAGTCTTCAGTAGTTTGCGGCAATGTCGTAAGCATGTAGTACTAGCACAAATGCCTTCCCTTTCTTTGTACAGTGCTCTCCTGTACATGAATGATGATTTTGAAGGAGGAGAGTTCATTTTCACTGAAATGGATGCCAAGACTGTAACTGTAAGTACACCTACTTTTGCAAATGTATTTAGTATTTTTTATCCCAGTCTTGTCATTTTCTAAGGACTCAAACTGTTGGATTTCAAATAGTTCCGAGCTCAAGAATTCAAGAGGTACAAAGAGGCCCAATTTACACATAGTAAAATGTTAGAAATGGCACCATCAATAGAAGTCTTCTAGCCCTGTTGGTGTAGCTCAGTGGATTGAGCATCGATTCTCCCATGGACTGGGAGGTCCCAGTTCAATTCCCGGTCTGGACACTTGCCTGGGTTGTGGGCTCGATCCCCAGTAGGGGGTGTGTAGGAGGCAAATCGGTGTTTCTATCTCTCACTCCCTTCCTCTCTCTCTAAAAAAAATCAATAAAAACATACTTTTACATAATAAAATAAAAATCTTCTAGTTCATTTTAAAGATGGGTAAATTTAAGAATAGAAATATTAAGGATTTCTAATTCTCATATAAGTTAGACTTGGACTCAGAACCCGAGTCTTCTGATTATTTGCCAAATTATCTGGTGGAAACAAAAACACTATTTCCTGTGTCACCTGAACCTAGGACAAGTCAAATAATTCCACAGAGTGGATTTCAAGTAACTTGGGGTTGTACAGGCTTGGATTGGTCATTGACCTCCAGACCCTAGTTATCAAAATTATTATATATGTATGTATGTATGCATAATATGGCATATATGTGTGAATGTGTACGTATGTGTGTGGTTGCAATTACAAGTAAACCCATACCTAAAAATTTATATTTACATTCACATACGCACAAGTTTGTGTGTGTGTGTGTCCACATGACATGTTTTGGATGAGATTCTAAACATACCTTCATAAGTAATAATCGAAAGTTAAATTCTACCACCATCTTTCTAAGCAAACTGATGCCTTTGGAAAACCAGTCTGCACAACACTTACAGACCAAAGAGGATACTTATGGTAGAAAAGCAGGTTTCCCAATTGAGAAGATCAAATTATAAATAGATTATGAGATATCTCTTTTTTCCACACAAAATCTAAATAGTTGGGACATGCATGTAATAAACTTCAAGGCGTTTGCATTATATAAACTATTTCCACAGTGTTTTCTTAGTTTTATGGTATTCTTATCATATTTTGCAGCATTTTCTTCAAAGCGAAACAGCCATTTATCATTAATGACATATTGCTATAGTATAAGCAGATGATATTCAAAACTGTGTTACTGTACAAGAGGAAACCTATAAGGATTCTGATTAAAATTGTCCAGAAACATTGTTATAATCAAGAAATAATATTTAATAGAATTTTATACAATAATGTATATTTAAAAGGCTATGATGCCTACACTTTTTGGTAAAAAGCCTAAATATTAACTTGGAAGTAGTGTGATGCTTCATTATCTGGGAAATTAAATCAGGATGGATGGTCTGGGTTGGAGTTTAAAATTACTATACAAAATTCTCATTTTCTGAAGATTCTGTGTGCAGAAAGAATTTGATTTCTGAGCTCTGCTAACACTAAAACTGGGGTTCAAAACTGCTTCTCGCATAGTTGGAAGAAAAATCAGACAGGTGGTTGAAAAGATTTCTTTGCTTCTACTCCATCTTGTGGCCAGATTTGGAAATGCTCAGTGTTTGAAGAATTGATGAATCAGTAATTTATTAATTGTTGAATACAAGTTAACTGAAATTTTTTCCCCAATATTGAGGTATTTTATATTTTTATTTATCTATTTTTAAATTTTAATTTATTTATTTTCTAAATCATTTTTTATTTTTCAATTATAGTTGACATACAATATTATATTAGTTTCAGATGTACATCCAGGGATTAGACATAATAAAACTTAAGTGATTTTTGAAATTTGAGTTGTATTTATTGGAGTGACATTGATTAATAAAATTATATAGGTTTCAGGTGTAAATTCTACAATACATCATCTGTATATTGTGTGTGACCACCCAAAGTTGCCTCCTTCCATCACCGTTTATGCCCCCTGTCCCCTCTTCTACCTCCCCATCCCCTTTCCCTCTGGTAATTGTCATACTGTTGTCTGAATCTATGAATTTTGTCTTGTTTCTGCTTAATTCCTTCACCTTTTTCACCCAGTCCTCCAACCCCCTCTGAGAGCTGTCCCTTTATAAGTCTGTTTCTATTTCGTTTGTCAGTTTATTTTGTACATTAGATTCCACATATAATTGAGGTCACTGGAATTCTGTTTTTTTTCATGATGTGAAAGAAGATACCATTCCACTATCCTTTTAATATAAAAGCACAACCATTTAAAAAATTGCAGAATCTAACCATTCTTTCTCCCCACAAATAAAAGAAGAACCTGATTTAAACAATAGTTTTATTCAAAAGCTCCTAGTTGGGAGATTTACTTTCCCAAATTATTACTACTTCAGATTAATTTATATGGTAGAGTTCTTAGGGCATTTTGTAGATAATCAAATTTCCTAGGTGACCAGTCCCAATGACAAAGAGACACGGACAGTCGTCCTTTCCAGTGTTCCCTTCTTTGACTCTGGAAAGACAGGTAAAGCAGGGAAATAACCCAACTGGGGTTACACAAGGTGGTAACATCTTATAAGTACTTTATTTTTGAAAAATCTGGAAATTATATCATTAACTGCATAGTGGCCGAAGGTTTCCATTTATTCAAGGCAAGTTGATACAAAGCTTCTCTGACGTGTAATCATCCGTTAGATGAAAAGCAATGGGAATTTGCTTTTATCACATTTGGAAGATACATGGGTTATTTCAACAGCAGCATTTATTTGTGAAACATGGGTATGTAGGGATTTGGGTTTTTCTATGCAAGTTTCCCAAAGATACAATTTTATGAGTTCCATTTGCTTCGTGAAAAATTAAACTCACTATGGAGCCGTGTTCCATAGGCATGTTTACCCTCATTTCTCTGGACTTCGGAACCTATTTTCCCGTAGGAGCAAGCCATCCAAGGAGCTTATCTGTTCCTCCCTGTACCAGACATGTAGCAGGTGAGGCTGGCTATTCGCTAACATGAGTCCTTGAGAGTCTCACATACCTGTAGTCAATTCCAACCGCCTCAGGAAGTTGATAGCCTCTTTCCCTAAACTTTCCCAACGTTCTTCATGTGTGAACATGCTTGCCATTCCCCCAGTTCCATCAGAGAGACGCATGCCGTCCCCACGCCCCTTCTTTGTGTTGTAAAGTGCTGTTGCTGAGATTCAGGGGCCCCATGGGCGCGAGGCAGCCGCGTGTGGCTGAGAGAGTCTGCCCAGCGCCAGGGAATGCGCAGCCAGAAAGCCCGAAACCGTACCCTAACACCACGCACAGGAGGGCTTTCCTGGCCTGTGTCATATGCGTCAGGTATTCGTTATTTTGCTCTTTTTATGGGGAAATGAACAACAAAATCTTTCTGCAGATAAACGAAATCAGATTGAGGCCACCAGTAACTACTGAACTCTCTAGATTTACATCAGAGACGTCACCTTGGTGAAGCGCCTGAACAAAGCAACTCTCTTCAGCAAAGACAAATCTCTCCTCAGTTATTGTGAACAGAACAACCAGGAACTGGCTGCTTTTCTCTGCTCTTCTCTTCACACACCACACACACACACACACACACTGCCCCTCCGCTCCTGTCTCAGACTTTTTAAATTGTTGACAGTATTATAGATGTTCCCCATCCCTCCCACTAGCCCCCTCCACCCAGCACCCCCCTAACCCTTTACCACATTGTTGCCTGTGTCCATGGGCTGTGTAGATGTGCATGAGGGTCTCAGACTTTCTGATTCCTCCACCGGCCTTCAATGTCTGCCTTCCATGTGTAGGTCACACTGTTGCGAGGACCCGTGTTAGGGAGCCAAGGATTTTGACCAATTTTCCAGATGTTTCTCCCGAAGCTGTCATGGGAAAAACGTAGCCTTCCCATTCTTCCCATTTTATGGTGAAGGACACCGAACATTCTTCTAGAGGATGTCTGTCAACTCAAGTCAATTCAGAGAATAGCTTGTTAGAATGGGCCCATCTTACCACACAGATGGCTGGTCCCACTTTTTGGCTTTTACTTGACTTTTCCCTGCTCTGCTGTGGAATGAGTCAGGTTTCTGTGTTTCTCAAGAAAGAAAAGTTAACTTGACTTGCACTCGGACACCTCTTTAAACATGGAAACAAGTCCCATTCCCGAGTCCTTAAGCTCAGTTTGGAAAGCCTGCTGGTTCTGCTACCCTGCTCAGGGCCCAGGGCTCGCTCTTCCCTCTGCCCTGCTCTGCCTGACTGTTCCTGGGCAGCTCCCCCAGCGACGCGCAGGCTCGGGGACTGTGGCTGTGATTTCAGAGCCCGGGAGGCCATGGGACGGGTCAGCCCAAGAGGCAGCGTGGTCTCGGGACTGGGGGTGTTAAAGCTTTAGCTGGAGACCACTGGGCAGGAAGGTTTTAACAGGAATTCAGTGATCGTATGGGATCAGACTCAACTGTTTAAAATCTTTGTATCATGAGAAGTTCACAGACCCTCAGTGCACAGTTGAGGAACTAGGAAGGGTGCACCCGTGGAGCCACAACCGAGATCAGTAATGAAACTGTACCAGCCCTCTGGGCGTCCACCTGATTGGTTTTTGTCATTCCACGGACATTAAATGTACATCTACCCTTGCCAGATGCTGTGCTAGTGCTCTAGTTAGAGCAGTGGCCCTGGCCAGGTGGCTCAGTTGGTTGGAGGTTATCCCATGCACCCAAAGGTTGTGGGTTCGATTCCCCGTCAGGGCACGTGCCCAGATTGCAGCTCGATCCCTGGTGGGGGGCGTGCAGGAGGCAGCCGATCAACGCTTCTCCTTCCCATTGATGTGCTATCTCTCTCCCTTCCTCTATACAAATCAATAAAAAACAATTTTTAATATATATTTTTAAAAGTTAGAGAAGTGAATTAAAAGGGAGCGCTTTTGCTTCATGGAGTTTGTCAGCTATCCACATAGTGTGTGCCAACCATTTTACCTGAATAACTTTATTTCCTGAATCAGATATTATTTTGACCTTATCATTGTTTCTCAGATGAGGAGCCTGAAATAATCTCTGCCTTCTTCAACCTTAGGATTCTATTATTCTTTGACTCAAAACTTGACTCAAATAATCCCATAGAAGGATAAAGAACAGGGGGTTGTAGAGATGTTTGGAAATTGAGTCTAATTTTCACTTTTGTTCTCAGGCCTCTATCAAACCAAAGTGTGGACGTATGATCAGCTTCTCATCTGGAGGGGAGAACCCACATGGGGTGAAGGCCGTCACCAAGGGCCAGAGGTGTGCTGTGGCTCTGTGGTTTACCTTGGACCCACTTTATAGAGAATTGGTGAGTGCCCAGCCGGTGTGGCTCAGTGGTTGAGCATCGACCCATGCACCAAGAGGTCACCGGTTCGATTCCCAGTCAGGGCACATGCCAGGTTGTGGGCCTGATCCCCAGTGGGGGGCATGCAGGAGGCAGCCAATCGATGTTCTCTCTCATCGATATTTCTATCTCTATCTCTCTCACTTTCTCTCGCTCTAAAAAACAATAAAAGAAAAAAAAAAAAAAAGAATTGGTGAGTGCTGAGCCACTCAGAAAGCCAACTAGATGCCTCATAGACCTGCTTCATAAACAGACTTATCTGAAAAGTCCTTTAAGTTGATTCATAACCCTTCAAGAACCTTAGAGAGCATGGAAAACAAACCAAAAAATCATTCTATAGCTGTTACACAACCCTTTCTCTTGTTTCTAGCACTGACCATCTTTTACACAAGGACACAATTTCCTGGTCACCTAGTGTTTGTAGTGTGTGAGGGACCGAGGCCGGACGAGGAAGGCAGTTCTTGGTCACGTGGGTTCTAGTAGGTAAATGTTTGCAGAAGTCGATACGTCAGTGGTATGTGGCAGTCCCTCGTTATCTTCAGCTCTATTTAAAAACTGTAGCATCAGGAGAGGAACCACTTTCTACTGGTTACTGGGAAGAATGGTTTATTTTCTCAAAATTATTAAACGCTTTATGAAACATGAAGAAGAGGTGCGGGAACCTGAAAGTTCAATATTATTTATTATAATTAAATCTTACATTTTTGAAATATTGTTTGTATTGTATGGGAAGTCGCTGAGGGCACTCAGCCTGGATAGGAAACCATGATCTTATCCTTCTGGATGCCCTTGGGCAGAGGTCGTAGTCTCTGTCTGCGAAGCTGCAGAGGATTGAATTAAGATCAATGGATAGAATTCTCAAGAAGAAAAATGTGGGCTCAACATATAAGAAATAACTTGTAAATCATCACCACTGTTCGGGGAAATTGCCTACTCTGAAGTAGTGAGTTCCTCGTCACGGGACGGCGCCCGTCCGAGCCTCGGGAACTGCGCGGCACGGGATGCTGACGTGGAAATGGGATGTCAGAGCAAGGGCGGGACAACTTCCAAGTCCTTCCAGTCCCAAGTGTTGGTGCAGCTATGGAATTCTCGTCTTTAAAATGACAGTCCATCCAGTTTTCCTCGTCAGCTCCCTGTATTGAATCCAGTGTGATCAGAAACTATTTAAAATTAATCTGGTTTCTCACATGCTTTTTCGTCATCAAAACTAACTCATACATTCCCTAAGCATTCATTCATCTATTTAACAAATGTTGGCGGAATGGCTACTCTCCTGCCTGGGAAACTCTGCTAGGCAGGCCCTGAGGGTACAAGGGGGACCCCAAAAATAGTCCCTGACCAGGAGGAGCTCAGGGAGACTGACAAGGAAACAGAGAGGGAGAAGACAGTCATGTGGGTGTCAGGGGAAGCAGGAAAGGCGTCTGTAGCCCTGGCTGGTGTGGCTCAGCTGGTTGGGCATCATCCTCTGCAACAAGAGGTTACCAGTTCTTTCCGGGTCAGGGCACCTGCCAGGGTTGCGGGCTCCATCCCCAGCAGCAGGTGTGCGGGAGGCAGCCTAGCAATGTTCTGCTCTCACATGGATCTTTCTCTCTCTCTAAAGAAAAATCAATAAAAAATATTTTTTTAATAAAAACGCAGTTCTAAAAAAGAAGATAATAGCCAGGCACAGAAAGAAAAAGAAAACTTGGTCCCAACTGAGGGAACAGAGCAGAGTTCTGAAAACTTGAAGGGACACTGAGCAATCTCCCGCAGCTGTAATTCCTTTCTTCCCTGCGCGTCTCCAGATGCAAATGTCAGCACCTCTCAGCGCCCTGTGCCAAGGAACTCGATAAGGGAGCGGACAGTGAAGATAACCGAAGACAATTTGTTGAAAAATTGCCTTACTATTTCCTCTCTCTATTGTTGGTTCAGCAAACAGCTCATCGGTTTCATTATTCAGTATCCCAACCTGCTCTTCCGAGATATTTTCTATCAAAATAAGCTAACACAAACAAGTTCTCTCCCCTTTCTAACCAGTAAACATGAATGCTCCTCCACTGAAGGGCAAGTAGTGGGCAATGTCTCCAGTCTCTGGGCAGTAGCGACATCTAGTGGCCACAGATGAAAATGACCAAAGCCTCTTAAGCAACAGTCCTAGAAAACGTAGCCTGTGATGGACTTTGCTTCACATTGAGATCACCTGGGCAACTGTACAAACTGCTGACATCAGGCTCCCACCCTCAGAAATTCTGGTTTAATTGCTATGGGGTGTGATCTGAGTATCGGAACTTCTAAAAGCCGCCCAGGTTATTTTAATGTGCAACAAAGTTTGAAAGTCCCTGAATTAGGCTCCTCTTCTGGGATTGAATCCCTGAGTAAATGAAGTCTGCCTATGAATAAGTCATCGGAGCTGGCAACTTCCATGCTTGTAATAGGTTACTGTAAAGGCAGTTAATTCTTACAGAGTATTTTGTGTCATAAGCTCTTAAAGATGCCCAATATTAGCCCTGGTTGGTTTGGCTCAACGGTTAGAGCATCAGCTTGTGGACCAGAGACCCGGATTCAGTTCACGCTAAAGGCACGTACCTCGGTTGCAGTTTGGCCCTGGCCCTGGTTGGGGCTGTGCGGGTGGCAACCAATTGATGTGTCTCTCTCACATCGATGTTTCTCTCTTTCTCTTCCTCCCTCTCTCCCTCCTGCTCTGTCTGAAGGAAAAAAAAAAAAGATGCCCAATATTAGAAGCTTCCATTGCTTGTGCACAGAGTCCCAGCTCTGGAACTCGTCTCCTCTCAGGAGACGGGAGACAGCAGTCCAGTGGCGATCCAGGGGGTCAGTTTCGGGTGTACGTCCGTTGGCTCAGAAGCAGGTTGTTCTTCCCGTGAAGTGGCATTGAGGCGTTTTACAAAGCCATCAAGACAGCAACTTAGATTTCTGCTATTTAGAATATTTGGTCCTTTTAGTCACCTTCATATCAACCTCATTTCAATTATAAGCTCTTGATTGAAAGGGGCTTTGTTTTCAAGTCGCAAAATAGATATTTTCCTAACATACTGTGCAAGACATTGTGCTTGGGACTAGTCACAGGGGATACAGACTAGGGAAGACATAACCCCTGTTTTTAAGGAGCTGGAGGTCAAAGTGGAGAGGTAAGACAGACACCTGAGCCAATAAAACCCAAGGCCCGGTTCAGTAAGAATTAGGGGAGGGGAGCGCATGGTGCTTGGGGGTGTAAACGGAAACCAGGAAAGGCTTTGTGGAGGAAACAGTGTCTGACATGAGTCTCAGAGGATGAGCACGGTTCTTCAGGGAGAGATCTTCTAGGCAGAGAGAGCCCTTCACTCATTTCACACTTATTTATCAGGTAGAACGGAGGCCTTGCTAAATGTCAGTAGCTTTTCTGATCACTGGAAATAGAGCAGTGAACAAAAATGACAGGATTCCCTACTTCCATGGAGCTTCCCTTCCAGCGGAAGAAGACTGACAGCCAATAGGAGAAAGAATGGATAGCTGAGAGACTTTCAGATAGTGAGAAATGATGTGGGAGAGAGCGCGGTAACCGATCTGAGAGTGCAGGGGAAGGGTGGCACCCTGAGGGCCCTCCGCACTGATGCAGGTGAGTTGCCACTGAGTGACAAGTCAGCCGTGAGAAAGACCTTGGGGAGAGGATGCTGGGCAGAGAACAGGGTACAAAGGCCCAGGGACAAAAGGAAGCTTAGTGTGGTCAAGACACAAAGAAAGCCCGAATGGCCAGAATGTGCTGAGCGAGATGGAGGGTGGAGTGAACAGAGGCACAGAGGAGGCAGGGGTGGGACTCCGCACGCTGGTGAAGGGCTATGAATTGTATTCTAAAGGGGTGTAGGGGGGAAGCTGTGTGCCCACCCACTCTGCCTCCCCCAGTCCCTGGGAATTATAGGATATGAAGGGGTTACAGAACAGTTTTATTTTTAAAATTTTTAAACATTTTTATTAATTGATTTGAGAGAGAGAGAGATGCCGATTTGCTGCTCCGCTTGTCCAGCGAACATGTTGTAGACCAGAGTCGTTAGATGAAAAAATGTGCACAGTTTGGAGTGCTATTTGGAGATAGACCAACTGGGCTGGATTCAGAGACCTTGGGGTGAGCTAGGAGGCTGGGGTGTAAGGTGAGGTGAGAGAGGACAGGTGAGCTGAAAAAGAGAGAAAGCTGTAGATCAGATAGCTCCTTCTCGGCACAGCAAGAAGATTGGACCTGGAACTTCACGCAGTAGGGACCCATGCCGGGGTGTGAGCAGGGCTGGGAGGTGACATGATTAAGTGCAGGGGGGCCATCAGAGACATTGGGTGTGGAACAGATCCATTTGGAAGCTGCTGTACCAGTTGAGTTGAGAGTTGATAAGAGCCTGAACCCTTGGATTTTAAGTGAGAGCTGTTTTGCCTCCTACAGCACATTTGACAATGTCCAGAAACATTTCAGGTTGTCCCAATGTGGGGAGAGGTGCTCTTGGCCAGGGATGCTGCTAAACATCCCACAACGCACAGGACAGCCCTCAGAGCAAAGAATTATCTGGTCCAAATGTCAGTAGCACCCAGGTGGAGAACCCTGGCCTAAGCGAAGGCAATAGCCCTGAAAAGGAAGGGGCAGACACAGGAGGCGGAGCAGAGAGAACTGGGGGCTCATGAGATCCAGGGGCACGTGGGTGAGCAGGGGTGGCCTTCCCCGAGAGAGGGATGCGAAGAGGAACAGAGCAGGTCTGAGAGGAAAACGGTGAATTCAACTGGAACGCCGAATTGGAGGACTGACTTGGAAATGCCTGTAGGACAGAGCACGGAAAGGGCAGTGAGCGGATGAATGTATAAGACCTCTTGGTGCCCGGCTGGTGTGGCTCGGTGATAGTCAGTCAGCTCATGCACCAAGAGGTCACAGGTTCGATTCCCGGTCAGGGCACATGCCCAGGTTGTGGGTCCGATCCCACATGCAGGAGGTGGCCAGTTGATGCTCTCTCTCATCAATGTTTCTGTCTCTCCCTCTCCTTCCTCTTCCTCTAAAATCAATAAAGAAAAAAAAAATGTAATGTAAAAAAGGGACTTCTTGGCAGGAGAGAAATCTTGGAAAGTAACTGCTTAGGACACAGGAAGTCAGGAGAAGGTACCAGTTCAGGTTTGAGATGAGGCTCAATCCTTAATGGGGTTCAGCGTCCATTCCATGGACAGATGGGTGCCTGAAGGGTTGGGAAGGCATCTGCCTCTGCGACTGGTTATAACGCTTGTAACAAAAACATGCAAATTGTCCTTTTTTTTTGCAGGAGCGAATACAAGCCGATGAAGTGATCGCAATCCTGGATCAAGAACAACAAGGGAAGCACGGACTGAATATCAACCCAAAAGATGAGCTATAAAAATGAGAGAGAGTGTTCTATCAGATATTTATTTAAATTGTTAATCTTATGAGAACCTTTTTATTTTTGTACAGAGCCATGTATAAATTAACAGGTGAATATGAGTCAGCAGATCTCCCTTCTGTCCCTAAGGATGTTCGCTTTGCCTCCCTCTGCCCCTCTGTCTGTCCTGGTTTTGCATCCGTTCATCTCTCAAAACTCAGCACCCTCCCCCGTTGGCTGCAGGGCCGAGGCTCAAGCGGAAAGAGCGAGTCCGTTCGGGGAAACTGCTCTCCGCATGCGCCGTGTGACTCGGTCTTGGGGGGCTTATCGGGCTCCCCCCTGCAGCCACCTGCTCTGCGGTGCTGACGGCCAGGAGTTTGCATCTGGGGTGCCCTGGTGGCCGTGGGGTCCCCGGCTCTGAGAAGGAACCACTCTGATACATACTGTGGGAGACGGGAGGGCCCAGCCTTCCGGGGGCCCTGCTGGAATTTTCACCAGAGAACACACTTACACTGGAAGCTTCGATTCGCCCTCCGCAGCGCCCCAGAAAGGACCCCGGGGAGCCGTGTCCTCACGAAGGTCGCGGAGGGGTTTGAAACAGAGTGAATGGCTCCTCACCGCGGTGACCTTCAGGAGAAGGTCTTGAATCCCGCCTGGGCCTGGGCACGGTGCCGAGTGTGGCGTCCAGGGGTGAGCGGGGCGCTTTGTGCTTCAGGAACGAGGGTTTCTGGTGGATCCCAGTCTTCACCCGCTTGGTTCGGTGGCCCCTCTCCGCTGCGGTCCAGCGCGGACTTGTTCTTGTGTCTGGTGGGTTGAATAAAGGGAGACTTATCTTAATATCTGGCATTTGTTTTTCTTCTCTCGGATATTTGGTTGAGCTGCAGGTAATGGTTTTGTGGTCCCCCCGGGAGCTGTAGGGACAACTCAGGGGCAACGTGGGCTCTGCTGGTTTTGCTGGCAGGTGCTGGGGCTGCAAGGAAGGAGGCAGCCCTGCTTTTGAAGGAGCAGGAATGGTTAGCAAGCAGGGAGTTCACCCAGACAGCGCCTGGTGCCCGGGGCCAGTTGGCAGACTGCTGGGGTGGGATTGTGGTGCCCCAGCCTGGGGGGACCTGCTCCTCTAGCCGGCGGGAGACCACCTGCCGCTGTGCCCCGCAGTGGTAGAGAGAGGTCACCGCCTTTCAGAAAAGCAGCAAATCCAAACGTTTTCTGAAAGTCCCATTTGCTTTCTGCCATTTATGATCTTGGTTAGTGATAAGAACATTCATCCTTTGAGGCTGAAAATATGAGTCATAGTGGTTTACGTGCAGTTTTCCACCCGACCTTCCAGTTGCATTTTTATCATGGGAGAGTGGAAGGAACATTGGATACGTACAGTCCCAGCGACCAAATGTGCCTGCTGTGTGGCCTGGGGCTACTCTCTTTCCCTTTCTGGGCCCAGGTTTCTGCTCGCTCAGTAACATAATTGGCTGCATTTGTTTCCAAAAGCTTTCCCTCTTGCTCTGAGTACAGAACAAAGCAAAACAGAAACAGAACTGATGGGGGAAATATTTACAAATACAACCCCGTTCACTGCTACAAACATTTTGAGACTCGTGAATGGGTTCGTTACAGGTCTATGTGATTTCAAAACTTTAAACTCTACTTGAAGGCTATAAAAGTTTCTGAGTTTTGCAAAGGTCGATTGCTGTTTGTTTGCTGTCTCCCTGAGACATGTTTGCTGGCACTCAGATTTGCTGATAGGAAGATCTGAGCAAGGATCTGAGTTCTGTTTTCTGGCAAGAAGGCATCAACAAGGAAAACAGCCTTCGGCTCCTTGCAGTCCCATTTCCTGGGTGCTCTGGCTGCTCGGGGTGCTCTGGGGAGGCAGGGGCTGCTGCACTGATTGTGACATTCAGCCCCACAGTAAGTAGGTGAAGGCCTCTGCAAATGTCCTTGTGGTAGATCCGTATCGCATGCCCTTTGCTGACAGTGGAGGAGTTATTCCTGTTTTGTAGGTTACCAATATTCTTTTACACCTGGGACGTCTTGTCTACAGCAACGCATTTACATCTTTAATCTGCTCCACATCAAACCATACATGATTTCATTTGGATCGTTAGGGAGTGTCATCAGCTGACTTCACAAAACTGAACTCAAAAAATCAAGTCTGTGTGCTAGCAGAGCCCATGAGAACTGCTGTAGATTGTAGAACTGCAAACGGAAGGCATGAAGGAGGCCATGAAGTCACAGTTTAGTTCCATCTTTCCCTCTGGGAGGAAACCCAAGCTCAGTGATCGGAAAAATGACTCCACAGTTGCAGAATTCGAGGGATGCGAGAATGCCTGGCCCAGGGGGCTTGCGGGCACCAGAGTCCTGGCACACGGCAGCATCCACAAGAGGAAGGGCTGCCCTTTGGTATTTGACAGAGAAGGTGCCTGCTCCCCAATCTATGGACCTGCAGAGCTGTGCCCAGAAGGGGTGCCTTTTTCTAATTCACTCAACAGTGCTGTGTGTGCGTGCGGCAGCCCAGGTCACAGAGCCCAATGTGTGAGTTCCTGTCGACAATTCTTCTTCTTTACTTCTTAGGGAACTACCACTTGTGAAAAGCTTGCAGTTTCACAAAGCTTTGTTTTCACCTACATGATTGCACTGAACACCCAGCTTGTTCACACACCTACGGGAGGTGTTCTGGGCATGGATCCTGAGGCCCATCCTGCAGATGAGGAGGTGGGGAGCAGCCAGGTGACAGCCAGTGATTGGTGAGCCCAGAGTGCCCACATCAGGGGCCCAAGAAGCACAGCCTTTGCACAGGGAAGGAGAAGAACACCAGGGTGGTTTGCTCTCGGCCACGCTTCCAACATAGCCCACATTAAATGATACATTCACGTGCAGAAAAAAATGGTTGCTCTGCTAAAATCCTCTCTTGTATTGTTCTGCAAAATTGTGTGTGGAGGCATATTTGCCCTGCCCCTCCGAGATGAATGGACATGGGTTACACCGTTCAGGGAGATCAGCCCATGTTCGAGCAAGTTCTGGGAGCCAGGCTTTCATGATGGGAAGAAGGCTCCCTCTGAGTAGAAAGAATCTTGAACTTAAACTTCCTCTTGAGAAAACACTGACACAGGACTGAGTGATATTCTCGGACGTGGAACATGCTTTCTCCAGAGCCCTGCATGTAAACTGCTCGACCAGGAAATCTCGGTGCAGTGCTGTCTGCCGACAGAGCACTTTGCTCACTTGGTGGGGGAGAAGCCACGGAACGAGTCAGGACCATGGAATAATACATCATCGCCGTAAGTTTTAATTGAAGTGCAAATGCTGACTGTGTCACAGAAGAGCCACGGCAGAGAACGCCCTCACTGACGTCAAGAACGGAGGTAATGGGGGCCACCTCACCTGTTCCTTGTGCCGAAGGCTTACCATTCAGAGGTGACGGACAGCCATGCGGCTGAGAAGTGGGAAAGAGTTGAACTGCTGCCACATCCAGAACTCTGGGGAAACAGGAGCCATTTGGCAAAAACCCTAAACCCTAAATTAGACTGGGCCACGTTATGATCCCTCGCCAGCTCCTGCCAAGAAGCCTGTGATATGAAGTGACCTCCTCACATAATCTGACAGCCCACCCACAAATCCTCCAGTCCCAGGTGCTCTGATGTTTCCAACAGGAGACACAAGGGCTCGTTTTGTTTGGGACCTGGCTGATTTCTTCAGACACATCGAGACAAGTAACAGCTACTCCTGGGCTCACCGCCGGGCCCAGCGTCAGACTCGCTGTCAGAGCCTCCTGGTCCTCCTCCCGCTGGTAAATCACAGTGTTTTCTGCACCCGCCACTGACCTTTGAGGCCCGATGACGTCACGTCTGGAACAATCTGATCATTGATTCTGGCTGCTCCACAATGGATGATGACTTCAGCCATGTGAAAAGTTGGCTCAGTGAGTCACCTTTTCCTTCAGAGATCTTGTTAAGGTCCCACAAGAAAAATAATCAAATAAGACATTTCTGCCCTCTTTTCCTGACACACATCATGAAGGAGGACATCTGAGTGTCCGTTCCGTCAATAGACAACACAGCCTTTTCTAGCCACCGTATGGATGCCTGCAGGGAGAGGGAAGATGAGTGGACAGGACAAGCCTAGCCCTCCTTTCCTTGCAGGGCACCACAGACAAGGCCGGGACACCGTTGAGTTGCACAGCGTTCCAGTCCATGTCCTAAGGTTTCTGCTCCAGAAGGGCCAATCAACTCTCTTCTTCATCTGAGTCTCCACTTCAGAAGTGAGGGGGACATTGATCTATCTGGGAACTCGCCCCCAGCCCCTCTTGTCAGAGGTGATGGCAGGGGTCCTGGAAGTTGTACCCAGACCCTACTTCAACTCTCCTGGCTCTTCCCAAGTTGACGCTTTTACCTCTGAATCACTATCTGGTGTGGGTGGAGACAGAAATGCGAACCAGGCAAGAAACATTACCTGTTATGCCTCATTGTTTTCCACTTGCAAATCATACATCCCATTGTTTCAAAGGGCTGTCATCATAGTTGGCATTTACAAAGCTCTTTTACAGTCTCGAAATGCTTGGCAATCGTACGTAACTGGACAATTACCTCGAGAGACACATCAGTGCAGTCTTCATTTTGTAAACAGAAAAAACGGACAGTCACGAAGAAGGCGGTGGAGTCAAGCTCTGGACATCGTGAATTAATTCTTCGCACAGGTTTTGAGTGGCTTCTCAGTAGTGTTTCAGGGAGGTAGTCAAGCATGAGCAAGACTTTAACCCTTTCTTGATGGAAATCAAAGTAAAGTGAAAACAATAGACGCAAACAAATGAAAAATATAAAATGAGGTAAGTGCTGTCATAGAAACATTATGCCAGAGGCAGGTAGCAGAAAGGTCATGTCCGTTCAGAGAAGAGAGTGGCTGGGGACAGGGAAGCGGGGTGTTGAATGCCAGTTCTGCCACCAAAAAAGCAGACATGAGCCATTTGACCTCTCACTTCACCACTGTGTCCTCAACTGAATAAGTGTTGAGCTTGAACTGGATGATTTCTTGGGTTGTAGAATATGAAGCTTCAGAAACGTTGGGAGAGTTCATGTTACGTTGGGAGAGTTTCAGAAACGTTGGGAGAGTTCATGTTAAAAATCGGTCTTGGTAGGGGGATTGCTATCTTGACTACAGGTTGCCTTGGGGAAAGCTCTTTAATGAATGTTGTGGAAATCCAAATAAATACCAGTTTAAAACACAGTGTTTGTTTGTTCCCTTGTGAGGAGGTATATTTAAGTGGGTGGGGTGCAG